CCGGTAAGAAAGGATTTTGATCAATTCTACCCCCAAGGAGATAAAATAGGGAATGAAAGTTTGTATGAAACTTTGTCAATTATAAGAAGAATCATAGATGAATGTCATTGTTATAATACAAGCCTGAGAACAAAAACTGTAGTCTACACTTCAGCTCTACACCGAAGCGAAGCGAGGGCGAGCCGCTAGTTATTTTATAAAATTAACAAGCAATTTTAAGCAATGCATTATTAAAGTCATATTAATAGTTCTCAATTGCTATATGTCACTGTACCCAAATTAGGACTTCCTGTGTTTCAGACAAATTAGACTCCTTTTTAAGATATAATTATCAATACTCAATTAATTACCAATATCAAATCAAAACATAATTTAAAATCTACCCAATGTAAATACTTACAAAAAGAAAAAACTAGAGAAATCTAACCTTTTTTATTAATTATCCCATCATCATCATCAGCCTTATAATATCCCCACTGCTGGGGCACAGGCCTTCCCTATGGATGGAATAGGGAGTTTGGGCAATGACCCACCACGCGGGCCCAGTTCGGATTGGTGGGTGCTAACGACTGCAGATGCAGCCGGGACCAACGGCTTAACGTGCCTTCCGAAGCACGGAGGAGCTCGAGATAGTGAATTTTTGGTCACCCATCCAATGACCGACCACTACGGAAGTTGCTTAACTTCAACGATCGCAGCCGAACGCGCTAACCAGTTGCGCCATCGAGCTCCATTAATTATCTGTTACTCAATAAATACTTTAAATTACAGCGCATATTATAAGCTCACCACTCAAGCTTGAGCCTTCAATTGCCATTGAGCGTCGCCACTCAACAATCACTCTCATACCACATCTCTTTTTCTCATCAAAAGCTACTTTAGATGGACTCACCACTGAAGAGAAATGTTTTTCATTGTTCTAACATACAACAAATAAGCACTTACAGTAAGTCCTTCGGTGTTATATTGCAAGTGTATGTATTATCACAAAATATATTGCACAGAAGGTAATCTACATACAGAGTGCGCTCCAGCAATGCACAAATAGACAGCGATCACGATAATTTAGGCCTCTTGGGACCATTGCGAGTTACATCCACTCGTCAGTGACATTTTTTGTACAAAAAATTGAGAAACAAAAAAAAGGTTTTGTAATTTTATTAAAAAAGTAATACAATTTAAATACTTTAGTTATTATTGGTTTATATTTCCAATCTTCCTGTTTAATTCTCAACAATAAACTAAACAACTGATAAGTACGAGTGCCACTACCTTTTTTTTGTCTGGGAAATGCTTTACGCATCCTTCAACCACCGGGGGAGCGAGAGGAAGGTATGTGGGACTCCACCCTGCTCATTTCATCCAGCCCTAGGGCCGGATGAAATGAGCAGGGCCCTAACTACGCCCTGAACAGAGCCACAAAAAATCAGACGATCCTCCTGCAGCGGTCACCCAACACGCATCCGGATGACCAAAGTCCCCCCTAATGCGCGTCGGGAGAGTGGGTGATGGTGCAGTACCCTGTTACAACTAACTGCGCACCCGCAAGGTGATTGTCCACAAGCGGACCCGCCCCGATAAAAAAGATGCCCCGGAGCATCAGGGGCATCAGCATCCAGAGCTTGTGCAATGCAGGCCCTCTCTCCCAAGGACAGACACGAGTGCCACTACCTACCAAGACTTTTTTGCACAAGCCAAAGTTGACAAACCTAGCGCAACCGCGTAGATATGAAAAGTAAGGTTCATACTTACATGATATTACCTTCTGTACTATCTATTTAGTGATATTATGCTTATCCTTTAGATTTAGATCGAGCAGGCTGTAACACTTATTTATCTTCTTTTGAACCGGGAAATGACACAAAAACAACGTCACCTACATACCTTACTTTAAGCCACCTTCAGAATTATAATAAAGTTCACGTGGAAATACGAGGGAGAAGGAAGTATACTGCCGTCATAAATATCATGTTAGATGGTACTTTACAATATTCGAAATGTCGCAGAGCCACTGGCTGTTTTATGTCTCGCTTGCGTCGCGCCGTGTAATGCCTTGATCACACGTACCGAATACGCGGGCGAGATAATAAAGTTTCTCGGCCGAGACAGTGATGGAACTGTCAAACTCATATATTATACTCCCAGATATCCTAACCTATCATTTTAAATTCTGATTTGACGGGCCCTAGCAAAAATTAAAGTTACATTGAGCAAGAAGATTTTACGCAGTTTTGAAGCTGATTTATTATTCATTTAATTCGTGTTTTTTTTTAATATTATTATTACTCAGCCATATATTTTTGCTACAGACCGATGAAACTTAAGTGGACCGATAAATGTGTCTGGGAGTGAAAGAGCGCTCGGCCGAGAGCACTGTCTCGCTAGTTTATTCGGTACGTGTGATCAAGGCATTACATTTAGGCACGTTAAATGAAATTGCGTATGTCATTTTAAAATGTTCGTATGATTGGAGTACCGGCACCGCGCCGTTTTGATAGCAATAGAAATTTTGGTTACGACCGTTTAAGTATAATTGGCTATTCGCGTCAATTTAATACTAAAACCCGTATAAAGAGATCGATCTCAACACTCACAGCAATCTTGAGTATGGTATTGAGATGCTGTTTTGTATAGAAATATTATCTCAAGATCGTAAAATAAAAAACCTTTGGCGGTCAGAAATAACAAAATGAAATCATAAGCGATAGCGATAGCCATAGCAATACCGTTACTCATTTGGCGCCCTGGCCTGCACAGCACCAAACACGAATCTAATTACTGTTTATAGTTGAGGAGTTCCATCGTTTTCTCCGAAAGTACTCATCAGATCTTCACCAAATCAATATGGGATTTACTTAAATTAATAAAAACTGATTCAAACAAAAATTCATCGTCAACATGGGACCACGCATGACAGACCTACCATACCCCTAGCGATACCCCCAGGGGTAGGGTGGGACTGTTTCATACCACCGTAGTGCTGTGCACTATATGCTTTCAAGTTTTGTTTTACCGAATCTTACGTAGGTACCTGGTGTCAATAGCATTCCATACAACATAGTATAAATATGTACTTATAATTCAATTTTACTTGATTGTTCTCAATAATAATCTTATCGTGTATTTATTTCAAGTATCCTTTTGTACGCAGTAAATGCAGTCAGTGCACAACGAAATCACCATTGGGCATGCGTTAGACAAATTAAGAACATAGATTAACATCTTTTAAGTTTTTCTGTTTAAGATAAAAAACTAAATAAGTATTTGTTATATTTTTAGGTTTTGCCAGAACGGATTTCGGGTTTTTTTTAATAAACTAAATATTTGTATCTGTTAGGTATCTATTTTTATTCTATTTTTCCATAAAATCCCAGCACTATAACGGTGGTATGGTTCAGTCCCACCCTACCCCCAGGGGTATGGCTAGGGGTATGGTGGGTCTGTCATGGATTAAGCATCTCAGGCGGGCAATTTGGAGGCATTCCGTGCTTATGATGACTGAAATAGAAGTTAATTATTCTTCTTGTAGAGTGCCTCTAAGGTACATAACCTATTGAAAAGCATAAATGTTCTGAATGTGTAAATACTTATTATAGGCTAGTTACATTTAGTTGTAAGTTTTATTGTATACTAACATATGGATCTGTGTTGTCTGCCAATAAATGATATTATTATTATTTCCTTTATTTCACTAAAAATACATACAAAATTATATTTCTAAATATTAAATTTATACAATGTATAACATTAAAAAAATTAACATTTAAAAATACAAAAATGCAGTTCCCCGTCGGCAGCAAGATCAGGGTCCCTGCTACCGGTGGTTAAGAATCCAGAGACGGGAACTTCCTCACTATACGGGCCCTGTCCAGAAGTACTGCCTTCTGCATCTGACTCTTGACCCAACCACCTAACGCGAGCCTCTTAAGGTGTTTTCCGAGGCTCTTGGCTATCAAACCAAGGGCAGATATGACTATCGGCACAACAATTGCTGAATCGATGTCCCACATGTCGACAATCTCGCGAGCTAAATCAAGATATTTGTTTTCTTTATCTTTTTCAGCTTCTACAAGGTTGTCGTCATGGGGGACAGCGACATCAACAACTACTGCACGGCGTTCGTGTCGATCTATCAATACAATATCGAGCTTATTAGCCACAATAGTCCTCTCTGTAATGATAGATCGATCCCAATATAATGTGGCATGGCTATTTTCAAGAACCTGTTCTGGAGCATACCTACATTATTATTATTAACTAGCTGACCCAGCGAACTTCGCACCGCCCTAAAAAAATAGGGGTTGTCCAGCGGACAAAATTGTGAATCTAAACCATTCTCAGATCCCCTTGAACACACACAAACAATTTCAGCAAAATCGGTCCAGTCGTTTAAGAGAAGTTCAGTGACATACACAATTCAATTTAGGCTGTTACAGGCACTCATGAATCTCTAGAAGCTACGCCAACGGTTCGTAAATCTAATAAATAATGTGTTACCTATTAAATGAGCTATTATGCGAGATTATTTTATGATAAGCTAATCAATACCCACCTTTTCTACCTACCATGGTTGAAACGGAAAGGGTATCATATATTTCGAGTTGTTATTTCACCCCGTCAAATTACAAAGTTGTCCACTTAAAGTCGCGACGAGGATAAAACAGACTCCTAACCCTTGATTGCGTGAACTTTTCAACTTTTACTTGGTGACCGTGGCAACCGGCAGGTTGCTTATTAAAATCGTTAATTAATGTAACTTCAGTACAGAGACACCCCAGAAAGTTTCTCATTAAAAGGATCCCAATATATAAGAAGTTATTTTATGTTAACGATAATGGGATTGCTATCATGTGCCTTGCATTTTTTTTATATACATAATATACTAGTACATTAGGTGAAATATTTTGCATAAATTATGTTTTTCTGTTAAGCTAAAAAATAATGAGATTAAGGATTTATTATGACAACAAAAAAATAGACAAAGCATGAAGAATACTCACAGTTAACGTCAATAGACAAATTTACAGAGACCGGCGTTATTGAGGGGTCTGTGACGGCCTGTGGACAAATATAAAGAAATATTTAGTTATATTAATAAAAGTATTTGTTATATTTTTGAAGTGAAAAATTTTTTAACGGCGTTGTACACTTTTTTTTGTATGGGTAAAAAATGGTAAAACTCGCGTCAGGTTAAGCACGTGGGCTGATCGTATCATGACACACAATAAAATTGGAAAGGTTGTTGACTTTCAATATATTGGACGAAACATAGTAATATTTTATTTTATCGTATTATAATAATAAGTCTCTATTTAAGACGTCCACGTGGCAGCTTTATTGCGAAGAAATGCATTTTTTTACAATAGATGTCGCTAGGTGCGCTTAAATGTGATTCATGTACGTTGATTTCTTTAAAATAGATGTCGCTAAGTGCGCTTAAACGTGATTCATGTAAGTCGATTTTTCTGAGAGATAAACTTTTTTAATGTAATATAAATTGTCATGTTTGTGTACGATAGCGCAATAAATACACCACATACATGATAGTACTTTTATACTGATAATTAAAGCAATTCGTGAAAAATTATTCCCTAACCATTCCAAAATATCAAAAATGCACAACGTTAATATTCAAGTTTTCACTTTTGCTGGCACTCTCGGAGTGCAACCCGTCGTTTTTTTTTCAGCATGTAACTGCTCGATATTTTTAATCTAAAGAAAATATAGCTAGCAAAAATTCCACGCGGGCCAGGGCCGCGGTAGCATAACGGTCAGTGCATTCGCCCGGATAGCGAAGGGTGCGGGTTCGAGGCCCGTCTGCGAATGTCTGGTCCGCGTGAAATTTATTCTAGCTATATTTTCTTTAGATTAAAAAGTATTTGTTGTTTTATAGTTGGGATTCATAATAAATCAAATGAGCAACGGATCGGTAACGCCTTGACTCTATATCCCGTATTTTATGTATGTAGGTATTCTATGCTGCATTTCACACATGTTATCTTCTGTATATAAAAGGAAACCATTACTGACTTACTATTCTATCAACGCAGAGCTTAAAGAACGGACTTCGCTGAAATTTGGCACACACATAGCTATTACGATATAGGCGTGTTCTAAGACAGGATTTTCCAAAACTCCCCCCTTAAGAGGTAAATCTGGGATTCAAAGTTTGTGTGGAGCACCAAAATCAAGTCTAACGCGAGATATGCCCCCGGCAAAATTCGAATTCATCAATATGTGTGAAATGCAGCTTACCGTTTCAAGGTGATAGACGATACAATTACGGTACTGCCTGCCTAGCATCAGCACCGCTATATGATAAATAAATAAATATTTCCAACACTCACGCCAATTAGCCTAACCCCATAGTAAGCACTGTAAGGCTTGTGTTACGGGATGCTAAGGTAACGGATAGAATACATATTCAGTACATATATTAGTATATTTATATAGAAATACATATGAAACATCCATGACTGGAGTACAAATGCTCGTATTCATCAGACAAACATCTGCCCCCACCAGGATTTGAACCCGGGACCTCTCGAGTCGGCGACACCATGAAACCCGGCGTACAAACCAATCGGCCACGGAGGTCGTTGATAAAGAGCTCATTTCTATCACACTCAATTGTCAAATTACTATGAAGTTTGACAGTTAAGCGCGATACAAAACGTGATATAATGTAAAATGCGGTGCTCATGCTACGGGGACACACCTGTTTTCGACATGATATATGTGCACTAATTTACCTGACAAGTGATATCCGTGCCGTAATCGGATCTCTGCAGTCTGAAGGATACGGTGGCTCTTGCTTCAGAATTGGCGAGGAGTGAATGCGATTTCCACCAAGACACCCTAGCTGTTGGCCGACCTGAGAACAAAGAACACTATAAGTATATATTTTTTTATGTCAAAAGGCAAACTAGCATATGGCCCGCCTGATGGTAAGCTGCCACCATAGTCTTCAGATGCTTACGACGCCAAACTTATGACTCGCACCGTTGCTGACCCAATCCTCTATCCCAAGGGTTCCTGGAACCTTACCGACAGAAGCACAACACCACCAATCCCCTATCCCGGGGGTTCCTGGAACCTCACCGACAGAAGAACAACACCACCAATCCTCAATCCCGGGGGTTCCTGGAACCTTACCGACAGAAGCACAACACCACCAATACTGGACTACTGTAAGGTGGGAGTAACTTTCGCAGAGAGGCAAAGAGATCCGTTGGTTGTGTCTACGCTTCCGAATTGGCGACGCTGCCAAACCCGTCATTAAGTGAGTTAAGTATCTTAAAATCAATCCAATCTTGGATATGTAGACTGATCTGTTTGGATACGTAGACGCCGACGTCGCCATGGCGTCTTGCTGATGTGTGAAGGCGAAAACCGGAAGAAGACGATAAAAAAGAGATCAGGATTCAGAAAAACAGAATGAGAAAGGAACGAATGCTGAAAAGGTGAGAATGAAAAATAAGATTAAAAAATCAAACGCTGGAAGGTATAATACAATAGCCCCCCCTTAAACAAAGCGTTTGGTGACAAAATAAAACAAAACCATTACTAATTGGTTGGTAACAGCCACTACCATCGGTATGAAAGCACTCAAAGTCAGGAAAGCTTTATTTGAATTCGATGCATCATACAACCTTGAATCGTCCAATACTTTTGGAACGTTTTCTGACGGGATGGCGAAAAGGCGAGAATTTTCAGTCACATCCTAGCGAGGCGGTTAGCTGGGTAGCGAGTTCGGCGACCATTGACGGTGGTGGTTGTGAAATTGGTTTATAGTTTTGTTTTGTGAGTGATGGACCCGAAGCGGGGGCGTTAGACCAGGAGAATGGGCGATGGACCGGGAGAGGTAGCGACGAGTGATGTACTGGGAGCGCTGGTTGTGCATGTACTCTTGAGTTTTAATATTTTTAACTTCGCTTCAATAGAGTACTCCACGACACTCACGCATTTTTTTCGTACAGTTCGAAGTAAATAAAGTACCAAATATTATAACCTCACACCCAACAAGTCCTTTCTCGCGAAGAATGTAAACAGAGTAGAATAGAAAAGCGGATCACCGTATCATCTTCATAGGAAGCGCGACCTCAGAAAGGTTCGTGCAGTACTCCTGGCCTAACGCTTTAAAGCCATTGTGTGGAACAAAGCGGGAAAATTGTTGCTAGCCCCCGAATCTGCGGTGCCGCCAGCGCCGAAACAACGGCGCGACGCAAAAAACCGTGTAAAACAAAAGGGTTCCTACCCTTGTCAAGTGTGGTGTGTGGCGCAAGTGAAGGAAGGTAGCGGTCTAAGGTACTTGTGGCACCGCTAACGATGAACGATGAACGAACAAGAAACAAGTTGGCGAGCAGCGGAAAGCGAGTGTGTGTAGTTCCGACAGTTTTATCGCTGGCAGTCGAACGGGCGATTACTATTTAAATGGCAAAAATGCACGAGCGCGCGTTGGGCCAAGCAAACATCGCTGAGCGAGTTTCATAGCTTTGTCGCTCAACGAGAAACTAGTAGAGTGAGGGTATCGCCGGTAGGGTGAACATCAGTTGGCGATCGACAAAAAAAAATACAACTAGGTACTATTCACACTTGAAGTCAAGTTGTAGTGTAATAAAAACTTTGTACAAATATATTAAGAAGAAAAATAATACAATTTGTTCATTTTAATACATATAATAAACGGACGGAAAAAATCTTATAGTCAAATGGTCTATGATATAAAACTCTAAATCAATAGTAAAAAAAATGGTTATAATAATACTGTCTGTACATCAAGTTCTGTTAACTTAAACTCTTAAGACTCACGAAAGAGCGAGTATCCCCTAACACAACCAGAATACTTAAAAGGGGATACTCAAGAACATGTTTATAAGGAACTTGTAAACAATAAAGAAACTTTAATTTTTTTTGAAGTGAAACTTCTTTTCGTACTTGGTGTAAATGGAAAATCCCATGGGATTTTCAGATGTGTGGTCCGTGCACACATTTTTTTTTATCTATGTTCTATTTTCACCGTCCGCCTGCGCTTCTCACTTGGACCAAATCAGAGCGGGCGTGAATCATACATCGTCAACACTCGCGGGACTGCGACTCGATTGAGGTCGCACCATTTACACAGATCTACGAAATGAAAAATGAACTTGTACATTTTAAGTAAAGGGACGGAAATGGAATGAAGATTTATGCATTTATGTGCCAGGTCAAAAGGATTAAGGGCTTTTTGTTGATTATAAATGTATATATAAAACAGGTTTCGTAATTGAGACTGGTGGACATAGGAAGTACGAAAATCCTCCAGTACATATGACGTTAATAATATACGTGTCGTGGATTTTTGAACGGAACGCCAATCCGGTACCGACTTTGGTGTATTCGGCGAATGGGATGGCAACACTAGTTACTAATCAACGTCAACTGACGTTAGACATCAGTGAAACGTCAGTTTTTCGGTCTGCGTCGCTCCCCCCCTTGGGGGATGATCGCTTCCGATGTAGCCTTAGAGGCCTTCCCAGCCAGAGGCGTATGTTTTTTAGTCAGTAAGAGTCTGACATAACCTTGCAGCCGGCTGTAGGGTATCCATGAGGATTTCTCACCCGCTTCTGTGCCTGGGAGGAAACAAAAAAACAGTTTTCGGAACATCTATATAATATATAAAACTCAAAGGTGACTGACTGACATAGTGATCTATCAACGCACAGCCCAAACCACTGGACGAATCGGGCTGAAATTTGGCATGCAGGTAGAAGTTATGACGTAGGCATCCGCTATGAAAGGATTTTGATCAATTCTACCCCCAAGGGCATAAAATAGGAAATGAAAGTTTCATACAAACTTTGTCAATTTTAAACCGATCGGGCTGAGACTTTGCATGCAGGTATAAGAAGAATCATAGATGAATGTCATTGTGTATAATACAAGCCTGAGAACAAAAACTGTAGTCTAAACTTCAGCTCTACACCGAAGCGAAGCGAGGGCGGGCCGCTAGTTAATGATATCGTTGTTCGGTTGTGTTCAAATCCCTTTCCGATTTCACCACGTGCCGATTTAATCCGTTTGTATCTGAGTAATCATAGCTAATTTTCAGCTTATTATTTATAAGACTACTTTTATTAAACCTAGACAGTGCAAACCGTGTATTATTTAGAGGATTTGTAATGGATCATGGTCACTAAACAAACGGCCACGTACCCCTTTTACATGCTAATTTTTCTAAGGAACAGGGATGACGACTAAAATTTTTTTCTTCGTCTATCAGGTAGATTATCAAAAAGTATTGGACACGTATTTTTTCTTTATTCACATAATCAAACCATTACAGAGATAAATTTTGATTTGAAATGTCACAGGACGTCACGTTTTGATACAATTTTTACTTAATAGTGACGTCACGAGCCCCCACTTCCAAAATTTGACGCGCTTAATTTTGGAAATTTTTTGGTTGATTTTCCCAACGAAAATGCGTGTCTATTATTTTTTTGATAATCTTACTAACGGACTGAACAGAATTTCTTTAACGTTACCACGTCATTATCCATATTCTACAATTAGCTTTGATGAAATTCTAGCAAGGAAATAAACATAAGCATGTATGGCCATGGCCATATCGAATTGGCATCATACGACACATATGAAGGGGGAACGCTGCCAGTATCTTCGGAACCTTGCTTAAAGGGACTCCTTTTAATAATGTATTTTAGTTATTATAAGGTTTTTAGTTATAAATATCTTACTATTTCTTCTTTAGTTATTTTCATAGACCGTACGGGAACTGATGTCGCTGGCTCACCTGCACTACTTTTCCACCTAAAGGATAATAGACAATCAAATGAGGAGTCAAAAACAATCGAGCCAATTAGCGCTCACATACGAGAGCGACGACGCAATCCGAACTAAGTTTTGGTCAAGTTATGAGCATTTGCTCACACATAACTGTGTGACGCACCTGCCCTGCCCACACGGCTCTTCTAATCTTTTTCTGTGTTCTGTGGCCAAAGTCACTAACTTCTAAGGCACCTAGAGCACTAGACAGCCAGTCATCACGGCCGTGGCCATAACCATGACCGCAGAATATACGGTTGGGCCACGGCAAAGTTTGCAGCCACGACCACGACTGGAGACTCGTAAACGACAGTGCTGATCAATTCTTTATTTTTATATAAGGTAATTTTAATCATTTTGTGTATACGTTCAAAGGAGTACTGTCTAGATTACATCAACTATAATTTTATGTTACACATGTTTTGACTGTATTATGTTAGGGTAGCTATAATAAATAAATAAATATACATACATAACGGTAGCCATACACACTATGAGAAATCGTTACGATCAGACTGTACAGTTCGAACGGAACAGTTTATCGTACGTGGCGTACGTATAGGAAACTGTGCAGTTTTATAACATACACGCTACGATTTATCGGTACCGTTCGGACGGTACAGTCTAATCGTAACGATTTCTTGTAGTGTGTATGGCTACCATAACATACAATAAATATAATATGACCAGTCAGAGGTTCTTTATAGATCATGATTTAAGCGAGTGATAGCAGCGTCTAGCTAGCTAGAGTTGGAGATCGCCAGCGTACAGATGGTAAGAGGATCAAATCAAGAAGAAACTAATAAAAAGTGAAAAAGAAGAGGATAGAGAATACCGAATAAGCTAGAGATACTTTGATCAATACTAACAGCCTGCTGGCGTTCACCAAAAGAACCAGGTCCTCACCGAAGAAGAAACCCCCATGTGAGTGAGGATTGCAAGGAGAATGTCGTAGTTGACCATGTTGAAGGCGTTGGAAAAATCGATCACGACCATTACTGTCAACTGCGAATTCTCCATGCCGCAACGAACGTCATCAAGGACATTAAGGAGAGCAGTGATTGTGCTGTGGCCGGGTATTGTTCAATCCCAAGTCCCCGCGCTATCTTAAGGATAGTTTGAATTTCCTTTATACTTGTTTCTTAGGTTTTCACGCACATCACTCATTAAATAAAACTAGTTTTTACGGGTTTATGCACGAAACTTTATTTATTTATGACGTTTCGTAGCCTTTACAGGCTACGTCGTCAGAATCAAACCTTTATTTAATTTGTCGAGCTACCTTCGAAAGACTTTTATTGAGCTCAATAGTTTAATTTGAAACCGGAAGACAATTCCATGGATGTATGGCTTGCACTGCAAATGAATGGTTGAAAGTTGTACCATGTACGGGAGCTATAAGAGCAAAATTTTCTATTGACCTTAAAGATAACGTGTTAGAAGGCCCTAAGAATACCAGCTTTTATTGAGATCAATAAAAGTCTTTCGAAGGTAGCTCGACAAATTAAATAAAAGTTTAATTCTGACGATGTAGCCTGTAAAGGCTACGAAACGTCATAAATAAATAAAGTTTCGTGCATTAACCCGTAAAAACTAGTTTTATTCCTTTATACTTCTATAAAGAAAGAGAGACAGGGAGATTTTTTTATTAACAATTTAACACAAGTGTTACAAAAAGACTAAAAAAAAATATTTACATCAATACAGAAATCTAATTTAGAAAAGAACTGAAAAACCATAATTGTACTATAATGGCTAATCAGGACCCTACCTATAGTGTTGCCACACGCAATGAAGCGAGTGACAACAACGCTGGTATTCTTAGGGCCTTCTAACACGTTTAACACTTTAAGGTCAATAGAAAATTTTGCTCTGATGACTCCCGTACATGGTACAACTTTCAACCATTCATTTGCAGTGCAAGTAGTAGAGTTTTAAATTGTCATCGGTTTCGTACAAACTTTTATGAATACTAACAGCATTACTGTACTGTCAAAATCACGCTATCCTGCCGCTCATATATTGCATTAGGAATTTTCATTAACAATTTATCTGCGATGGAAAACCTTTTCTTTTTCATAATATTTTTATTCAATTATTTACAATATGTCTATATAACTAGGTTATTCTTATTCAAATTTCAACGTGTTTAATAATATACTGTCCGTGCTCGAGGCTGCTATTTGATACAGCCAGGGGCGCGGGCAGAAGTCTGAAAGAGGAAGCATAGAAGGATAGTAAAGATAAAAGTAGGTATACAAGAAAATAGGGAGGTGAAAAACAAAGTAAAGAAAAGTTGATTCACATTAGTCCCGTTAAATACTTTATATTTTGAGTGGACGCCTAATTGACTTGCCTCTGTATTTTCAACTGAAAACCTTCTTTTGTTTAAATTTGAGCCAAATTGAGCTCAATAAAAGTCTTTCGAAGGTAGCTCGACAAATTAAATAAAAGTTTTATTCTGACGACGTAGCCTGTAAAGGCTACGAAACGTCATAAATAAATAAAGTTTCGTGCATTAACCCGTAAAAACTAGTTTTATTCCTTTATACTTCTATAAAGAAAGAGAGACAGGGAGATTTTTTTTATTAACAATTTAACACAAGTGTTGCAAAAAGACTAAAAAAATATATTTACATCAATACAGAAATCTAATTTAGAAAAGAACTGAAAAACCATAATTGTACTATAATGGCTAATCAGGACCCTACCTATAGTGTTGCCACACGCAATGAAGCGAGTGACAACAACGCTGGTATTCTTAGGGCCTTCTAACACTTCTTTAAGGTCAATAGAAAATTTTGCTCTGATGACTCCCGTACATGGTACAACTTTCAACCATTCATTTGCAGTGCAAGCCATACATCTATGGAATTGTCTTCCGGTTTCAATAAGACGTGCGGAAACTATTTATGTTTTTAAAAACCCTTGTGTAATCCCACTGTCTGACTTTGATATACTTTTGTTTTTAGTATGTTAAGTACTTTCTACTAAGTGGACTAGATCTATGTATATTTTGTGTTTATACTTATTTTGTGTATTTATATATAACTTATATATTAAAACGCAAAACTGGGCATTCCCCTTTTGACTTGTACCAAAAACCAGCTGTCATTACCGTGCGGCCCCTTCAACCCAGATTATGACGACTTTATGACAGATTACGGAGGCAGCGAGAATGGCGGGAAAAACTTTTTTCGGTGCCGTCCGCCGCTGTATACCAATTATAAAGTGGGTAGTTTCAACTTAGCATTTTTGGCTCAAATTTAAACAAAAGAAGGTTTTCAGTTGAAAATACAGAGGCAAGTCAATTAGGCGTCCACTCAAAATATAAAGTATTTAACGGGACTAATGTGAATCAACTTTTCTTTACTTTGTTTTTCACCTCCCTATTTTCTTGTATACCTACTTTTATCTTTACTATCTTTCTATGCTTCCTCTTTCAGACTTCTGCCCGCGCCCCTGGCTGTATCAAATAGCAGCCTCGAGCACGGACAGTATATTATTAAACACGTTGAAATTTGAATAAGAATAACCTAGTTATGTAGACATATTGTAAATAATTGAATAAAAATATTATGAAAATAGAACGTTTTCTATCGCAGATAAATTGTTAATGAAAATTCCTAATGCAATATATGAGCGGCAGGATAGCGTGATTTCGACAGTACAGTAATGCTGTTAGTATTCATAAAAGTTTGTACGAAACGGGTGACAATTTAAAACTCTGCAACTATTTCGAATTCCATACTATTTTTCTAATAGTCTAAGAGCCGGTGGGACGTCGACCTTCACCGATCTGATAACTCGATGGGACATATTACATATCAAATATGATTTATAAACAAATATGCCTGTGACGACTTGCCTATCGAAAAGTGTTCATGGCTATTTTTAATTTAATTAATTTTAATCAATTTTCTTTCATCACATTCACTCTTTTGATAACCGAATGAGTGTTATCTCAACTGATAGTTTTTAACACACAATATGCCCTTACAATATATAGAGCTCTTGAACAGTTAACCCAACGCACGCAACGAAACCTCACAAATGGAATATTTTTACCCGTTTTAGCAAAATTTTCCATCGATGCTCCACACTTCCTGGTCCTAGCGTAATTTTATTTAGCCTTCCTTGATAAACACATTATCCAACACAAAAATATATTTTCGAACCGGACGAGTATTTTTTGTGATTAGCGCGTTTAACCAAAAAAAAATAAACAATATGGCCGAATGAGAGTATGAAACGCGACGCCACCCGACGACGCCACGCCACACGTGTTGAGTCAAATCAAAATGTACTAATTTCTATGATCAGAATCACATTAGAAACATCTGACAGTGCAATAATTATGAGTGATATTTGTGATGGATGTGTACAAACCACAGCGTCACTAGATAAATTTAATAATAACGGCATGGACCAATGGTTAGAAGGACACAAATTTTTTAACAGCAGAGAAATTGTGCATTCTATACAACGGGTCCTAAACTACGCAACAAAATTTTCACTATCTGTTAAATACCTAAATTTTCAATCAAGGTTTATAATTATATGAAGAAAATCATTGTATGAGTCACTGAGAACAAAAACTATAGTCTATACTACAGCTCTACGCCGAAGCGAAGCGAGGGCGCGCCACTAGTATATGTATAAGACAACGATTCCTTTTTCAGTAATATTGAGAAATGTCAACGCGTTGTCAAATTATCCGCGATGTTGGAAATTCCCTAAGATTTTCGCGACCATTTATCAATGTATACTACGGCATCAATAAACATTTATCAAGCCATCATATTCGTTCGAAGCTCTCGCCACATCTCTCACCTTGTGCCACACGTACATACAGAATGATTCGGTCATTTTTCGCCGCTCACACACCGGCCCGAACTCTATGACGGCTGACGTAGGTCGTGCCACGAACAAAAACACAACTGATTTAACGAAAGCGCACACCGCACACCACACACAAACAAAACAATGAGACTGGAATAGGGGGGGGGGGGGGGGGGGGAGAACAAAAACATGGAGGGACTCCCAGTGAGGTTCCCACGGCATTTTTCATTCTAATTATGTGTGTTATATAAAACAAAAGAATGCTGCTTTGATTCGCAATTCTTTTTTAAGGCAACTAACGCTGACGCCACGCCTAGGAAGAGATTTATTGGAGTTTACTCCTTAAGAATCGATTTGCATATATAAGTGGCCCGGTATGAGAAAAATATTAGGAGTAAAATCTATCGATGAAATGACCTCGTTACGTTTTTGGTGCGCATCCTATGTCGCGCAACTTTGACAAACAAAGATGACGGATTGACATTAATAAAAATTTTAAAATCTGAACTGAATTTAGATATTGTTTCTGATAGAGCAATGGGGACAACGAGGTATGGTACAACCATTGATGCGGTATTTTCAAGATTCGTGAACCACGTATCTACGAAAATATATATTTATATATGTTTATTATTTTCATTAATTTGTTAATTTACCCTTTCATACAGTATAAGTTAAATAAACTCTTTTTGCGTCTGGTTAGACTATCGAACTTAAGGAGTAAACTCCAGTCGTGCGTCGGAGCTGACACACACATTTTTTTTTTCAATTAATGAAGTGATAACTTCTTATGGGAGAGTAAACCGTTTCGTTACGTTATCACTTCTGTCGTGCGTCTCGAGAGGCACACGCTTTATTATTTATTAAAAAAAAAAATGGGTGCGTGTACTTATGTAGGCGCGTGAGAAGTTATCCTTCTTTGGCATCGTTTAAAATTAGTTTTTAAATGCATGCAAATAATTAATTACAATAAATTAATAAAAAGTCTGGAAAAGGACGAAGTCAATAAAGTTCAGTTTTAATTTGAAAAAATTAATAAATAATCAAAATATTCAATTAAAATCGCTACTGAATATAATTTATTAGAACATATGTGATTTGCACTTGTATGAAACTCAAACACGTATTCCGAATATACAAACTAGAAACATGTGGATAAATATTATAAATATGAATACCTATAACTGTTACTTTATTACAAAAAATAAAGATGTGGTTTTTGGTTCTACTACACCAATGATCAAGAGATGGCGCTGTAGTCTCCTGAATCGCGCTTTGGTTCCGTTGTTCCAGATTAATAAATACTTTTTGTTACTTTATTACAAAAAATAAAGATGTGGTTTTTGGTTCTACTACACCAATGGTCAAGAGATGGCGCTGTAGTCTCCTGAATCGCGCTTTGGTTCCGTTGTTCCAGATTAATAAATACTTTTGATAGGCCTTCACAATGCAGTCGTAGCACCCACTAAATAGAGATTCTATTTCTATTTTGTTGGTAGATTTTCTTAATGTGCGGTAAACACAAAAGTAACGCATGAAGTTGGTCGCTAAAGCGACCAACTTCATTATGTTAAAATTTTGTGTTACAGTGATGCGCGCGCATCTTAAAATTTCACTCTCATCATTTTTTCAGAACGCGCCTAAAGAAGTATAACTTCAAAAATAAAGAGGTGTTTTAATGTACAAAAATCACCAAACTGTAGTTCTTAGTAAAGCAACTTTCGCAGTGGTCGGTCATTGGATGGGTGACCAAAAATTTACTATCTCGAGCTCCTCCGTGCTCCGGAAGGCACGTTAAGCCGTTGGTCACGGCTGCATCTGCAGTCGTTAGCACCCACCAATCAGCACTGGGCCCGCGTGGTGGGTCGTGGCCCAATCTCCTTATTCCATCCATTGGGAAGGCCTGTGCCCCAGCAGTGGGGACATTAATAGGCTGATGATGATGAAGATGATATGCAATATATTATTTAAGTAGGTAAAGGTAATCTTTATATATATAATTCTTCTTGTGAGTGTGTATGTCACTGAACTTCTCTTAAACGACTGGACCGATTTTGATGAAATTTTTTGTGTGTGTTCAAGGGGATCTGAGAATGGTTTAGATTCACAATTTTGTCCGCTGGACATCCCCTATTTTTTTAGGCGGTACGAAGTTCGCTGGGTCAGCTAGTTTAATATAAAATGTAATTTTTTGTCATCAAGTACTTTTTAAGTTTTTGTTATTAAAAAGTAGGTATAATAGCTTAATAAAAGAAAAAAATATATACAATTACTTGTGCATGTACAAGATAAAAGCAAAGTGATCGTTTAAAAGTTGGCTTAGAACTTAATATTGACGTTACATTTACAGGCATTCTCATGTAGTTTAAAACGCATACCGCACACCACACTAAAACAACACAATAAGACAGGGGACAACAAAAACATGAAGGGACTACCAGTGAGGTTCCCACGGCATTTTAAACTCTGAATATGTGTGTTAAATCACAGAACACAGAAAGAGGTTACAAGGGTTCTCATAGGCCGTTTATACGGGAAGCGATGTCGCCGGCTCGCCACAGATAATAGTCAATCAAACGATGCGACATCAAACAATTGATCCAATCACCGATCACACCCCAGAGCAACGACGCAATCAGAACCAAGACTTATGCACAGCCTAAAGTTAGGTTATTTAGGAGAAGAAGTTTCACTTCAGTACCCTTAGTCAGGGCTTCTTTACCGGTTAATTTTCAAACCTCAATCAGTATCAAGTACATTAGGAGCGTTTTATTTAGGTTTGGCTCTACCTTAACCTTAAAAAAATCGGTTTTCCTAAAAAGCGAAATCAAATAGGTTTTGAATCAATTTAACGGTTTTTAAAGGATTTCATTTCGCTCTTACTGACGGCATCGCATTCGCCGTTTCAATTCAAATTTATAATGATTTTATGTCAGTTTCTTTCCAACTACAGAGCGAGTGAGTGAAGTAGTGTGTCAGTACACAACTACAAAATGAATAACTTGACTCACTAGACGCTA